TTAGAGCAAGTAGGAGGATATGAAGATGAGGTGAAAGCCGAAAAACACCAGAAGAATAGGAAGTCGGTGACAACAAAGAAGACGATGGCCATAAAAGGAAAAGACAACAAGAAGAAGAAAGAGAATAATAAAAAATTAAAGAATAAAAAAGAGAATAAAACAGTCGACAAAAAAAAAAAGAATTACACCTGGAAGAGAAGAACCTCAAAAGATGTATAAGAGGAAGAAGGAAAAGATGTGGAGAATAAGAAGAAGACGTGAAAAAAGAAAAACCGGAATAATAAGAAATAAGAAAAGACATTGAAAAGAAGGAAAATGAAGAAAAAAACAGGAAGAAAAACAATAAAATAAAAAGAAAGAAAGGAAAAAAATGATAGAGAAAAAAAATGAAAAGATAAAAAGAGAAAGATGAATAATTCATATTAATCTTATTTTAGTTTGTGTTTGTGAATTTCATACACTTATTAGTATTGATTTTAAGGGTTTTAATGTTAGATAATGATTACTTTCATAGATTAGTTTTGTTTTAGTCTTGTATGTATCAAATTGTTGATCTAATTCTTTTTGATTTATACCATAAAATTTTGTTTTACGTTTTAATGAAACTTTTTAGTATGCGCAAAATGCGGACTAAACACCTAGTATTATAAACTTTTTAATAAGCCAAAAAACACACGAACTTATGTTGATTTAGCCAGATTATATATAAAATTAGTCAACATTATATGCTATTATGTCTAAACACAAAAATAAATTTTTGTCACTTATTAGAAAAAATATATCAAGAAAACATAAATTAAATTACTAATTTTGATTTAAAAAAATTCTCAGATGCACCAGGTAAAATCTAATATCTAATTTAAAACTGACCAGATCACACACATATATATATATATATATATATATATACTCATATCACACATATATATATACACTCATATCACACATCCAACTTCACACATTACACATCCAACACAACTACATACAGCGAACTATCTAACGCAACTTTTTTTTTCCTTAATATCAAATATATCCTTCATTTTTACATATGCAATCCAATTTATCATTAACGTTAAGCCATTTAACATTGCCTTCTCTATGTTTTGATGTTAACTTTTTGATATTGACTTCTTTCCTAGATTCGTTCGAAAAAAAACCTCATCAAACAAGACAAGAATTCTTTGTAATTCTTTTTATATTTACTATTTTTCTATTTTTGTAGCGGACATTTGTATTTTTATCATTTCTACATTAAATAAATTTCTATTTGGCTTTCTATTGGTGTTTTTTTTTAATTATTGGAAATTTGGTACATTTTGAGATCTTACTAGACAAATATGGGTTTAATATAAATGTTAAATGATAAAATTCTTTCAAAAAAATTTGAACTTTGAGTTGTTTTTTATATGAACTTTGAGTTGTTTAAAAAAAAAAATTTGAGTTTATTACTGATGTTATTTTATATTTGTTTATGTATATCTATCTAGAAGTAATTGAGATATTTAAAACTTATTGAATCAAGTTGGAAAAACCCAAAAAAATACATATCTTGATTTAAAGAATAAACATAAACTTCTTAGTGTAAATTTGTTGGAGCTCAAAAAGATTACAAGTTTGGACTGTTGCATTTATGAGATTGGTTTTTTCTAGACTTTAGTTTGCAGAGCTAGAACTAACACAAAATTGTGTGAAGCTTCAAGTTGATGGATTTATTGTATACATATTATTTGTGGTGAAAAGTAAGATTGACATAAATATCTATTAAATGCTAAATTTGGATTTATTTCTAATAACTCTCGTTTAAAGTAAGATTAATTTTCAGAAATAATTGACATTAAATGTTCAAAAAAAGATATAAATAATTGACATTAAATACAATGACTCAAAAGGAAAAAAAATACAAATAGAGTGAATCCAAAAGTTAATACATGTATACTCAACTCTCCCAAAAATTAGATAGTATGAATATCTCTTTTTGTTAAAAAATTTTGTATTAATGGAACAAGATTTTAAACCAAACTTGCAAACTAAATTGGATATGGTTGAAGGAAATAAAACGTGGATGCATTTAAAGTGTATATATTGTTACAAAATCTAATTAATTAAAGTACCATTGAGAAAGTTAACATATCTTTAAATATAATGGATTGTTAAATCAAGCCTCTAAACGTGTAAAAAAATTTGAAAGACATTTCTTGTTTTGTTTTAGCAGATGGAATCTCTAGTATATGTTTTTGCTCTCTCAGTTCTTTATGTGACGGTTACGTCGTCACATGTTTTTCAAGATAATAACAACAATAATAGACACCAAGATATTAACAACCAGATAGTAAAAACTATTGTGGTTGATCATTCTGGTAAAGGTAACTTCAAAACCATACAATCGGCTATCAATTCAATTCCCTCCGGTAACAGCCATTGGATCAAGATTTTTATTAAAGAAGGAGTCTACAAGTAAGTACTCTTAAGAATTAAGTTGTAATCTTTAATAGTTAGTTATATGTCCATTTCGGGTATGCTTGTTTTACTAACTTCCTCCTCCCGGAAGAGATTTTAGTCACTAATTTCTTCCAGAGATATCGTTTTCATCACCTTTCTCCGTTTTGGAGATAAATTTTTTTCACCAATTTGTCTTTTATTGAAAACTTCTTTAAATGTTCAGCTTTAAAGACATTACTAGTTAAAAGTTTCATTTGCTCGCCTTTAATGCCACAAGAACTTGCCCCTTTGAAGGAGCATCTGCATTTTTAATATTTTTACCATGCTTTGTATTTTTAATTATGTATCAAGTTCAAACTCTTTGGCGACGAGTTCCTGGATTTTTGTTTTTGTAGCCACATCTTAATTAATAGAAGTATGTTTTGTCCAATTTTTTTGAGTTGTATGTGTGTTTGTTGATGCAGCGAGAAGGTAATAATTCCAAAGAATAAGCCAAAGATACAAATGGAGGGAAATAAAGCATCGACAACGATAATTCAGTACAACGATGGGGGAAAAGCCAGTCTGAGTACAACAGTCAGAGTGTCAGCTGAGTTCTTTGTTGCTATCAATATAACATTTAAGGTTAGCTATTGAGCATCTATTATGTTTAATCTTTGTACTTACTATTGAATATAAATATCACTAAAGACATATTTCTTTTGAAAGTTTGTTTTATCATGTTAAAACATTTGAATACTTTTATGACTACATTATTGAATAATCTGATCAAGCAGAATACTTATAATCCGGATAAGCCTATGATACCATACCGTGAGATCAAAGTAGCTCCAGCGGTTATATTAGCAGCAGATAAGGCAGCATTCTTCGGTTGCGAATTTTTCAGTATCCAAGACACGATCGGTGACTTAGGCGGCCGACACTACTTCCAAAAATGTCACATCAAAGGAGGCATTGATTTCATTTGGGGAGGAGGCCAATCTATATACCAAGTAATCTTACCTTTTCTCTCAAATTCTCTCATCTTTGTATGTATAATATGGTAGATTACTACAATGTGAAATCATGCTTGGTCCATGGCACAACCCATGGACTTATATAGAAAAATCATACGTCCCATAAACTTATCCAACATAGAACCAACAAATATTTTGATAGCCTTCATTGCTTACTACTCAGCTTTTGCCAATGCAAATACTCTAAAAACATTTAAGGTTGTAAAAAATAATATAAATCTCAATTCATATTTATATTGAGTTCCCTTTGGAAAAAAAAATCTAATTCATATTCATATTGAATCCCTTTTGGAAAAAAGGGTTAAAATTGGACTACATTCTATGAATTCACCACTTGAACATCTAAATAAAGGGTAGTAAATCTAATCAGTGTAAACACTAAATTACATATGTATGTATGTGTGTGTGCAGAACTGCGTGATTGACGTTTTGGGAGTGATATCAACAACAGCAAAGGAAGAAGAGGCAAACAAAGGATTAATGGCGGGATTCATAACCGCGCAAGGGAGGGAAACCGAGCAAGACACAAGCGGGTTTGTGTTCAATGGATGCTCGATTACCGGAGTTGGTAAAGCATTCCTTGGAAGAGCTTACCGAGGCTACTCGAGAGTTATCTTTTACAATACTAATATGGCGGATGTTATCGTCGCTCAAGGTTGGGATTCTTGGTCATATCCACGACAAGTGTAAGTCCCTCAAGTGTAAGTATATATATATATATATATATATATATATATATATATTAATATATATATATATATATATGCGTGGCTTTAATCAAGATGGTGACATAGTGACGATAGTAACACAGACCACTAGGCTCCAAGTTGCTTCCAAATTATGTATATTGACTATGTTTTGCGGATTTATAAATCAGAGATAAATTGACGTATGCGGAGGTAAATTGCAAGGGACCGGGAGCAAAGAAGCAAGGAAGAGTGGCATGGGAGAAGAATCTGTCTGATGTTTCTTACTTTACAAACGTTAGGACTTTTTTAGACAAAGATGGTTGGATGAAAACTCTTCCTCCTCATCCATTCTCCTTTGATTCCCCATCTTCTGATTCTGATGAAAATTCATTTGTTTGAACAAAACCCATTTACTGAATCAACATTTAAGATTCTCTTCGCAAATTTATCATAATAAAAACACATAACTTGTCAAAACCTCATTTATGTTGCTGATTTGTCAAAACCAAGAAACATATAAACAAGCACTTTGTTTACTACTCAATAATCAATACATTCATTAGTATTTTACTACAAATCTTACCACTAGTCATAGAGTGTGGCAAATGCTTTAATAGTTACTACGAAACAAACAGAAATTTTCACTATAATTGTGATGTTGTAAATCCATTTCTACGTCACAAACAATTGGATTTGGGGAAGTTTAATCATCTTTGGGCATGAACGATACAACTAATTCATGTGGTAAGATGTGTTGAAACGGCAACTGTTTCTACGACTTCTCTCTCATTTTGGCTCTGGCAAAAACAACTCCAGCCACAAGACCTGCAGACCAAACAAGCATCTCCCTCAGGCTGGTGAATAGAACGAGAGATATGAGTATACTTGGCAATGGAACCGAGAGAATGTTTACCAAAGAGTATGCTTGCTGAGTTCTGCAAACTGGTAGGTACATGAAAAAGAACGATCCCCGCAATAGACAGAGGTATTTTGTTTAGCGATCCCACCAAGCTGTAAATTGCATAAAACAGAAGATGTAAGGTCTTTCGTAATAAGGATAAACCACCACAGAAGCAAGTACAGAGATTCAAACTGCTTTATACTCTCTAATTTATAACCTGTATGTTGTAGCTCCGGTTTGATGAAGAAACCACATTGAAGTGAAGCTAATGGCAAGACCTAGAAGTCCACTGAGTGTCATGACCATCCAAAAACCTGGCAATCGCAGAAGTGGCCTGCACCAAACATACGCGAACCACTTTGTTTTTCAAATAACACAAACCATCTCTTATTTGACAGGACAATAGGGAAGTAACCCACGTGTTATACAGATAATCCATCTCGTTGAAGGCAATAGAAAGAATGAGGCCAAGTGGTAATGAAAGTGTGTTATTAAGCAAAACCATGGAGAACTCGTTTAAATTTCCAGACTGAGTAACTTGCTTGGCCGTATCCATGGTCTTTCTCAATGTCAGCTGCAAAAGAGCAAAATTTAAGCAAATCATATATAAAAGGCTGACTTTGGCCTGTACCTATTAGCTAATCGAAGAAGAAGCGGTACACATAAATTTCAAGAGGCATAGGCTAGATAACAAGCAAACATTTTGTAGAGATTTAGTTTTCATGGACAGGATTGGACGATTTTATTGCATCTCATGAGCATCTTCAAAATGAGAATCAAGCAGGGAACATAATAATCATTATATAGAAAACAATTTAGGTTCATGACTCAGTCTCAAACATAAGCATGTACTGCTATGAATTAATGTACCCTCCTTTAATATTTGTGTTAATGGTTTCAAATGACTTCAGTTGTGACAAACTTACACAAGATCAAATGATTACTTACAGAGTACGATGCAGTTAAGAAGCAATTAGCGATTTGCCAAGCATAGCCAACAGCATTGAAAGATAGATCTGTTATCCCTCCAGATACTGCGGAAATGATCTGAAAATGACGAGGGGAAGAATATATCATGTACCTGTTCAAGCTTTAGGCTATATGATATAAATTATTACATGATAACAATGGAATGTGAAGGCTTTTCCACATCAAAGAAAGCAGTTTGGAGAAGAGTAAGATCACAGATGTGGGTCTTTTATCAATAAGAAGATACGCTTTCTACTTTCTTTCTACTTTCATGCTCAAAGTGGATGATCAAACTTTATAAAGAATTGCTTTGAGGAATTAAAACAAAGGAATGTTTCGTGTAAGTAAACACAAGTCTTAGAATTGTTGTCCGGAAAATAGCGTTCACAACTCCAATGAAAAGCTTTTCTTAAGGTAGGTTCCTTAGGAACAGTTCTCGCAGGCTAATTTACAGATTCAGTTTGGAACATACCATTAAGAAGAGAGCAAGCCACACTCTGTTGTCGTGATGCTTGTTGAATAGATACATCTCACCAACTGCTGTTATTACATTAGTGACATTCTTCAAGACAGTGACCATTGCCACATTGATGTATTTCAAGCTGTCAAGAAAAAAAAAATAACTGAAACCGACATTCAAATTAAATCCGTACTTCAAATGTTGTCCTATAAGACACAACAATATCTTAACTCTACTGTCGCGTAGACTTAGAATATCTTAGTTTAGAATGGTAAATATCTACCAACTCTACAGGTTATGCGGTACAGTAAAGTTTGACTCTGAAGCCCAAAACGTGACATGATTTAAACATATCCATATAGTTAGCATTAGTAGTCTCAACAGTTGTAGCCCTCCAAATAATCTGACGATTTCGTAATCTATCAGTAGTCTTGTTTTGGCCAACAATTCTAAACTTTCTCATGTCGTTGATGGAGTGAAAGTAAGGACTATGAAACTGTAAAGAGAAAGAGTATTTCCCATATACCACATGAAGATGAAACATTAGAAACAAATGCAAATAAAAGTGTCAAAACTCATTCCTACCTAAACATGCTTGTGATAAGCATGCCAACAAATATCACGTTCACGGGGAACCAGACCTTTATCAATCTCCAGGTCAGTGGTTCCGTTGTTATTAGACCCATTAAGCTCAAAGCCACCACAATGATCACTGAGACAAAATTCTGCACCAACACACACGTGTAAGAATATGAAAAATACTGACACATAATGAAAGAAAAACCAAGCACAGCGAAAGAGAAAGCAATTTTTGTTCATAAGAAAATACCTGGTATAACATTAAAAATATCCCAGCATTGAAGTTGTAGCTGGAAAGAACAAACTTGTTCACCAGTATCATGCTGCATGATGAAACGCAATAAGCTAAACCGGACAACAAAGCCTGATTAGGTATCTTTCTCAGAGTTGGCTTATCTCCCGCTTTTCGTGTGTTCCCATCTTCCAAGTCTACTCCATCGTGTTCGTAGGATTTCATTGCCAATGAGGACCTACCAGAGAAACATAGAATCAGTAAGACATCAGTGAAAGTCATCACTATTGTTAGACATGTGCAGGTAAGTACGTCACTTCTCCACGGATAATTTTTCTACAACACTTATCACTTCAGTAATACCGTAAACAGATCCATCGTTCATAATAATACACAAAACTCAGCTAAATGTCTTTTTGTTCATATACCAACATCATAACTCATAAACCTCGATCGAGAGAATTAAATGGCAAATACTAATTTAACTACTTTAACTCCATTGAAAGGGCAAGCAGCTTAAAATGTAAATGAAAAGAAAAGTAAACAGTTTTTTCTGAATGCATTCTATTGCTAAACTTCTACATATAAAGCAGTGTTGAGAATTCACCTGCTGATTACTTCTATCTTCAATGAACAGGAGGCCTGATTAAGAACACCGTTTTCATGAAATTTTGTCGCTAATCTCCAGTCAGTTGAAACTAGTACTAATAAACTCAAATAAGCTCTATCGATGGGCGGGCCAGTTCAAGGAGGAGGCCCCAATGGCAGAATCCTTCAGTAAGAAGACAGTTAAGTATGAGTTTCAGACAAAAACGGATAAACCAAGGCAAAGACGAAGTAGACAACATCCAAATTCAAGCTGGTATATTCCTTAAAATCAAAAACAAAACGACGAAGATTTCACAGAAATGGTTCGACCAAAGAGAAGATTTAAACAGAAGAAGTTGTTACAATCATATACCAAAGAGTACAAATTTATGTAACTGATCCGAGAGCATCAAGTAGGTCAATCACTGCTAGATTGTTAGAAACTGGCCAAGAACGCTCACAGAACACAAATCAACTGCTATATTTGGACTTTGTGACATACAAGCCAATGAAATCAACCTTTTTTTTTCACAAAATTCTGAGGATCAAGAGGTCAACTACCAGGTCAAAATTAGCCTTATACTCATCAGATTGTTAAAAATTGGCCAACGATGCTCAGAAAACGCAACTACAATTAGAATTTTTTTTTTTTGTTCAGATACAATCCAATAAATCCCCAAAAGAAATTAAACACTCCCGCAATAAAAAAATAATAATAAAAAGCTTACCTTTGAACTAACGAAGTTGAGGATTTACTTTCGGATACACTTTGATTCCTTGAAACTGGATTGACAATGAAATGGAAGAGAAATAAAGAAAACCCAGATTACGTTTTCGTCGAATCAATCATCAAGTCTTTGTCTTTGAGAGTCTCGATCTGGTCTCCCGTCAACCAAAGTCTCGATGCTAACTTACGCCAGCTCTGGGAAAAAATCACAAGTTTCGGCACAAGTTAGCATTAGAAGACTGAGAGATTTGATCGAAGAGTTACGATATTTGGTAAGTGAATGGAAAAAGAAAAAAAAAACACGAAGAGAAAAACTCACGATTTCGCCTATTTCTTCTTCCAGTTGCATTTCAAAAGGATGGAGACAAACAACGAGGTTATAAATCCCATTCAGTGACAATGTTTTATTACCAAACATATGTATTGGTCGTACATTTTAACAAGACTTTCTATTCTAAAATGGTTTATTTTTCTTTTTTTGTCAGTCTTAAATGGATACTTATCTGTGCATTTTTTTCTTATGCAGTAGTATTTGAATTTCAATATTTCCTTAAACGTTTACTTTCATTGCATCTCAATTGGTAAATTTCCAATGGTTTTGTTTGTGTGCCTATTTAAATCAGAAAACTGAACAGAAAAAAAATATCACCTAGGTATAGACCGTATAGTGGGAAATAATTGCAATCTTTAAGTTTTCATTAGAGCAAGTTTTCTTAGAGCCGACCATGAATCCAAACAGACATAGGTTTATGGTTTTCTACAAAGTGACAATTTTTTTTTTTTTAAATGTGTAAATCGTTTTTCCTTCACCTTGTCTTTTTTTTGTTTTTTTTTAATTTTAGGATTGGTTTCACGCTATGTTATAAGTTATTAGCAAATGCTGGTTCTAGACTATGGGAGGATTAGAGCCTAGGCCAAGTTTAAAAAAAAAACAAAACAAAATAGATCAATAAAATATATATAAACTGCTGTGAGAGACCAGAAAATTAAAAACGAAAAATTAGAAACCGAAAGAAAAAATAGAAATGAGTGGGAATAAACCACATTTTTTCAACATTTGTGTCCTTGTGAACTCTCTCTCACTAATCCATTGTCTTACACCAGTATACCACTACCTGCCACAATCCACTATTTGGATAATTATTTGAAATACAACAATTAAAATTAAATACAACAACTAAAATTATCCATCGTTGAGTACAACTAGTAATTAATAATTAGCCTCTTTACAACTCACTTGTGTGGCAGAAACTTCAGGCCAAGGAACATGAACCAGCTCGAGTTCAAACTTTTTCAACGGACGTTACAATCATAAATTCATAATCATAACCAAGGAAATGCTTGAAGTAACTTTTTAATATACTTTCAAGTTTGGGTACTTTCTGCCAAAAGAGAATGAACCTAGACTATAATAAAACCAACTCCTGCCACTAACAAGTAGACTCGATGGCTAATAAACTAAAGCCCTTACAATTCTTGCTTATCTTAGTAAACCCTTGATCCAATGTTTTCTCTTATTGCTTAATCATTTTATGCTTCCATTTATTGCGTGATTAGTAGTGTATTTGCTTTCTTCTTCCACTGTTTATCTCTGGCTCACTTATTGAAACTTATTAGTGGCTTCTCCTTTTGTTAACTTTTTCAACACTTTCAATGGACTTCACCATTATAAGCTCTGTTTATAATGGTCTGTTTCTATACGAGATTCATATACTATTTGAAGCATTTATTCTAATTTTTCAAGAAATGACTTCAGAGATAAAAGGTTATAAAATGATATGGAATATGGATGCATCACAATGACGCAACTAAGACAAACACAACACACTCATGAGGAAACACAAATCTAGTCCAATAAACTGTAGCGAACTTTTAATGTTTAATCTAACCTCTTAACTCCGACCAAACTCTTGAGAACTGCATACAAACAATTACCATTTTCTTTTAAGCTATCTCCAATGCATTCTCGGGAGGCTCGATCCAAATGTTCTCAGAAGAGCGTTGCTTTCCCCAGTTAATATTGTGCTCACTTGGATGGTATCTCCTTTCATCAAACGAATATGTCACGCAACGCGTTTCATTGTCACATAACTTAGCGAAGTAGATACTATTCCTTAGCATCCCCTCGTGGACATAAGTTCTCGATTCACATGAATTAATACTCACAAAGATGCTTAAACTACCGAGATTTTCCCTCTTCTCCCAAACACCTTGTGTAAGATCGAGCTTAAACACCAAAGGCTCTGCGTTTCCAAATGTACATATGACAAATATGTCTCCTTCATAACCAACCATGAACTTTCCCTCATACCAACTCTCATCATCGATGTGATCAGGGCATCGAGGTGGCAGTACATCGAGTACATTCCATGTGCGTAAAGATGGATCAAAAACCGCGAGGCAGTTTCTTATGTTGAGACAGTAAAACACACCATTCAAGAAGACAACATAGTTACGTTTAACATCAAGAAACTGAGACTCGACCTGCATTGAAGTCCAAACTGTTTGACCCGGACTCCAAGTCCGGATAGTCACATGACCCGGATCATAATCTTTGATTGTGAAAACCACACAATCGCTTGATGTAGGAGCACAAGAGAATCCAACTAATTGGTAACCATACCAGAGCTCAAGATAAGGCAAGACCACAAGATCCATAGTGAATGGATTGAACAAGACGAAGTCTGATGAAATGTTTTTGCTCATAAGAAGCCATCCATCTCTAGAGTAACGGACTTTAGAGCCGGCTAATGATTTAGGCAGCTCCATTGTATGTTTCTTGCCGTTCGATGGATTGTAAATCTCATAAGAGTTTTTTGATTTAGAGAAGTGCATGAGCCAAGGAGGCTGGTCTATGATTCTAACCGAAACTGCGGCTTCGTGCCACGATTTGCATACAGCAGAAGCGCGTACGTTGTCTTTGATTTCAAGATAAGCCATTACAGAGATGAGAAGCTCTAAGGGAAGGTCTCTCCAAGTTTGATTCTCAACCTTTTCTTTTGTAATCATCATGCTCATATTAGATCTGAGAAGAGTTGATGAACAAAAGAATCAAGTTATTCATGTTTCAATTGAATTGTTATTCATTAACAAGATCCAAATCTGAATAATCAAGATTAAGAAAAAATTAATACTTTGATTGGTTTTGGTTCATACAAGTCCAGTATATTTCACTGGATTGAAGAATCAAGAGTTGGGAATCAAATCCAAAACTGGGTTCTCCGAAATTGTCACCGAGGATCCATCAATTACACGAAAGTTCTCTTCCTATTTTTTTTTCCCAAGATCAGATACAAGAAAATCGAAACATCAGACTACCAAAACAAACATAGGGAGGAGGGCGAAAGAAAACTTACGATATGAATTTTACTTTTCTTCTTCTTCTTCCACTTATGTTCGAAGGGTGAATAGAAGAGAGAACAGAGTGATGAATCTAATAATTGACACGAGTCTTATATTATTACTAACACATATTTTATTACTTATACTGTTATTCATTTTGCTAATTGCCAAACATTTCTTGACCGTACAATTATACTTCCCTTCTTCAACCGATATGTATCTATAAACTTATTCGGTTCTTCCTTATAATTAAATTTCTACATTTGCATTTAAATGTCTCCTCTGATTCTATCTCATTCAGAAAAAGTTATATCTCATACAAACTGAGTATTCAGTTAAGAAAAAAGTATATTATACAATTATTTTTTCGAAGTCAGAAACGTTTTTTCTCTTCTAGAGAAAACACACGTATTTTTCCGCTGCTCTAGATTTTCGTTTTTTTTCTCTGATCTATTTCTCTGATGTCTAGCGCTCCTCACCGGATCCGTGAGAGGTCTCATCTCATATTCTTTTCACCCTAGTTCTTCATCATGTGATTAGTAGATCTTTGTTTACGGGTTTTGGTGGCGGTCTTTGTTTCTCCGGCGAAGCGGTTTTGATATGTCAGCGACGCTTCCTCAAGAGTTTGAAGTTGACAGCTCCTCCGTTCAGGTTTTTCTCAGATCTGGCTGGCGATTGGTTTGTGCGAGTTGGTTGGTAGAGAGTGCTAGTTAGGTGGAATCGAGAGAAAGAAAACGATGGAAAGAAAAGAGAATCTGTTATTGATTATATTCAAATTTGTTACAATACAACTTTATATATGAACAAGATGAATTCGAGTCTAACATAATTCCCGGTTTATCCTAATATTTCCCCTCAAGATGGGGAGAATATATAATTTAAAATCATCTTGCCTATAAGAGAATTAAACTGAGTAGATAACAGAGGTTTTGTAAAAACGTTAGGTTTTGTAAAAACGTTAGCTAGCTGATTACCGGTCTTCACATGTAGCAACTTGACTAAACCATTCTCCACTCGATCTCTAACCTGGCAATCCAATTCTATGTGTTTGGTCTTTTTATGAAACACATGCGATGTGCATCGTCGCCGTTGAATCACAGTAGAATGCAACTGATTGAGCTTGAGGAGCTTTAAGTTCGTTGAGTAAATAAACCAGTGATGCGATTGTAAACGGGGTTGTTGTTTTCGTTTTACTAAGCTTTAGGTTTTAAATTTGTAACCCCTAAATGTCTGCAAGTGCACAAATGTACGCTGTAGTACTTAGGGTATCGATCCACATAGACTTAGTTGTTTCAGTACGAATTCACGGCAATGCTTAAATCAGACTAGAACTAAACAGGTTTGGGTTTTGGTTGTCACTAAATCTAAAATAGAAAGCAAAGCAAGTAAAAGCAATTGAAAAATGAAAGCAAGTAAAACAAGTAAAAATCGATTAAACAAAGGCGAATAGAAGCAAGTAATAAGCGAATGAAAAGCAAATAAAATCGAAGGTTGTAAGCAATGAAAAACAAACGTTGGGGTTCAAGGGGTTTCGCAGGGATTCATGGACTAGGCTATGTCGATTTTAAACAAGTGATAAAGGTAATCAACTATGTATGTTCTAGAACTTGAGGCACGGAAGTATGAATAGCCTACTTTCGCAGCACTAAACAACTATCTCTCGCAACCCTGATCAGTAGGTTTCCACTCTGATCCTGGAAGGGAAAAGATGCAATAGTAAAACAAGACTCATCAATATTCACAACTCAACTACAGGTAGGTTTTCGCTTCTATAGAATTATTGCTCGTTTCACCCTAGTTCAGACAATCAATGAAAACTTATAATCCATATCATATCAGATCGGCTTCTAAGTGGGCAGCAAAGAATCACGCAGTAAGATTAAAGGCAAATGAAGAACATCTAGAAGATTAGTAATCCTAAATCTATCGATTCATAAGCAAAGACACACGAAATTCCCTTTGAAAAATCTCTTTAAACCCAACTGGGTAACTACTCAAATATATTGTAAACAATCATCACAGAGTATTGAAAATTGCAGGAATTTAAAGAAAACAGGGAAGAAAAACTAAGAACGGAATCACAGATGGAGGCGCGATGATGCTCTCCTCGACGGCTCCTCCAAAGGCGGCGGCCTCGTAGGGTTTGTCACACGAAAATCTAGTCTAGTCTAGTCTATTTGGATCTATTTGGATCTATTCTACAAAATTCTCACCAAAATACAAGCAAACTAGTCTGTTAATCCGTCATGCGAAAATCTACACACTTAGATCTAACTTCCAGTCAACTAGCTCTCTACATTCATTAAGTATTTTGTGAATTCTCATCAAAGACATTATTCAGGGTAGACGGAAATTAAGTCCAGATAAAATGAGCTAGTATATCCTGTCAGAAGAATCTCCATGAATAGAAGTCCTCTGGTGGGAGTTTGTAATGCAAGTATTCTAGCTACCGCCTAGTCTAGGCCTAAATCACAAAAAGAGAAAAAAACGAGGAAATAGCGTAGAAGCACACTGGTCTAATTCATCATAGTATTGTTTATTAATGTTCCTGGTTTGAAAAATTTTTGAAAAAAAAATTTGAAAATGATTTTTGAAAAAATTTTATAAAAAAGTTGCTGGGAAAAATTTTATGTGAAACATTTTGAAAAACATTTTGAAAAATTTTGTGTCCAAAACAAATTCAAAACAAATCAAATTTCATTAGTAACGGATGAACATCCTCCCTCAGACTTATTTCACACTGTCCTCAGTGTGATAAATCTTGGAAAGAATGGTAAAGAAAATAGAAAAGTTGAAATGTTTAAGTGAACTTATTGTTCTGGAGAGTGCTGCTCGTCTTTTGTGTTCGTTTGAAATTAAATGAAAGAAAAAAAAGCAATGGAAATAGAAAATAAAGGTCAAAGGGAAATAAATAAAATACCAAGTGGGTTGCCTCCCACTACGCGCTTGTTTCAAGTTGTTAGCTTGACATTGTTGCTCGATTAGACTTAACCGGGGTCGTGACACTCCTTGACCTCATCATTGGGCGATGATGGATCAATCAAAAACATCACTTCTCTTTCGTCTTCTCTTTCTTCAGCCAGATATGGCTTTACACGATGTCCATTCACTGTAAATGAGTTTCCGGTTTTGTCCCACAGGACGATGGCTCCGTATGGTTTGACTTCCTTTATCGTGAAGGGTCCTGACCATTTTGAACGTAAATTTCATGGAAAAAGCTTAATGCGAGAATTGAAAAGAAGAACTTTATCGTTAGGAGCAAAAGTTCTATGAATAATCTTCTTATCATGATATGCTTTAGTCTTCTCCTTGTAGATCTTCGAGTTTTCGTAAGCATTGTGTCGTATGTCCTCTAACTCGTGAAGTTGAAGTAATCTTCTTTCTCCAGCCGTTTTCAGGTTCATGTTCATCTCCTTGGTAGCCCATTGCGCGTTATACTCGAGTTCTACTAGAAGGTGGCATGCTTTTCCATAAACTAGGTTGAATGGTGATGTTCTTAATGGCGTCTTGAATGCTGTTCGATATGCCCATAATGCATCGTCAAGCTTGGTAGACCAATCCTTACGATGAACTGCAGTTGTTTTCTGCAAAATCAACTTGATTTCTCTGTTTGAGATTTCTACTTGACCGCTGGTTTGGGGATGGTATGGAGAAGCAAATTTATGCGTAACTCCATTCTTTTTAAGAAGATTCTCGAAAACTCTGTTGATGATATGTGATCCTCCGTCACTTATCACAATTCTAGGAACTCCAAAATAGCTTCATGACGACTTTTGCATCATTGGTGGGACTAGCGACTGCTACTAAGATGTATTGGTTTCCGAAAGAAGTCGGAAATGGTCCCATGAAATCTATTCCCCAGACATCGAAAATTTCGACTTCGAGAATAAAATTTTAAGGCATCTCATTCCTTTTGCTTATGTTGCCCATCCTTTGGCATTTATCGCATTGCGATATATAAGTTTGAGTATCTTTGAATAAAGTAGGCCACCAAAAACCTGCTTGTAAGATCTTTGAAGCAGTTTTGAAGGTTGCAAAATGTCCTGCGTAAGACGAGCTATGGCATCCGAATAAAATTCCTTCCATCTCTTCTTCAGCCACTCATCTTCGGAATAACCCATCAGCACATCTCTTATAGAGATAGGGTTCATCCCAAAAATAATGTCTTACGTTCTTCAGAAACTTTTTCTTCCTATAACCAAAATATTGCGGTGGTTCTACATCAGCTGCTAGGTAATTCGCTATGTGCCTAAACCATGAGGTGTTGAAAGCATCTGATCTTCGCATGAGTTGACGTGGTGGTGCGGTATTGACATTGGTGGGGGTAGTATCTATTGCATAGATGTTTTCTTCTGGCAAACTATCATTTAAAGGCAATCTTTCTTCAACTCGAATTCGTGAAAGATGGTCTGCAACTCCATTATCTGCGCCTTTCTGATCTCGAATTTCGATGTCGAATTCTTGCAGTAGGAGGATCCATCTTATCAACCTCGGTTTAGCGTATTTCTTAGACATTAAATACTTGATTGCAGCATGATCAGTATGAACTATAACCTTAGATCCTACGAGATAAGAACAGAATTTCTCAAATGCAAATACCACAGCTAGAAGTTCTTTCTCTGTTGTTGCATAATTGCATTGAGCTTTGTCTAGAGTTCTGCTTGCGTAGTAGATTACGTGCAGTTTATTATCTTTTCGTTGGCCAAGCACTGCTCCGACTGCATAGTCACTTGCATCGCACATGATTTCGAATGGGAGTTCCCAATCAGGTGCTTGCACGACATGAGCGGAAACAAGGGCTTCTTTGATCTTATGAAACGCGGCTAAGCACTCATCATCGAACTTGAAGTTCGTTTCCTTGCAAAGCAAACGCGTAAGAGGTCTAGTTATTTGAGAGAAATCTTTAATGAAACGCCTATAGAATCCTGCATGTCCTAAGAAACTACGATTTCCTTTTACGTTTGTGGGAGGTTGTAGGCTGGTCATAACCTCGATTTTAGCTTTGTCAACTTCAATTCCTTTTCCCGAAATCCTGTGCACAAGCACGATTCCGTCTCGTACCATGAAGTGACATTTTCTCCAATTTAATACTAAGTGATTA